ATCTCTTGCCCCTCCCGTCCCTGATAGCGCCGGCCTGTAACGCCGCGCTCTGCTCCTGATATGTAATCCCTGACCCCTCCCGCTCTGTCATCGGAAATATGTCCTGCCGAGCGCTGACAGTGTCGGCCTGTAACGCCACCCTCTGCTCCTGACATGTTATCCCTGGCCCCTCCCGCCCCGTCATCGGAAATATCTCCTGCCGAGCACCGACAGCGCCGGCCTGTAACGCCGCCTCTGCTTCTGACATGTTATCCCTGCCCCCCCCCCCCCCCCGCTCCGTCATCGGAAATATCTCCTGCCGAGCACTGACAGTGCCGGCCTGTAACGCCACCCTCTGCTCCTGGCAGGTCAGCTCATGCCCTGCCTACCGTGGCGGTACGCCATCGCCGTGGTAGGCCTCTTCGGATTCGCCTCCGGCTACGCCATGCGGGCCAACATGTCCGTCGCCATCGTGAAGATGGTGAAGAACTCGTCATCTTCCGGTGAAGGTCATGGCTCCGCCTGCCCAAGACCCCACACCAACGGCACGGATGAAAGTACGGTACGTTCTACCCCTTCCACCCCTTTCCAACCCTTTCTACCCAAGGACCGGATTCTGGCCCCTTAGCCTTAGTGGTTGGCATGAGATCAGGTAAGTTTGTTTCCTTTAATATGCCCATTTTGCCGGAAATCAGTGTTATGACTAGCCATCTGCGAGCAACTCACTTCTTAACCCGAACGGCTACTGAGGTATTTCGTCACCTCTCATCTGCCAGTTGGCACCCAGCGGGTAATCCAAGGTGACTATGGAGTAGTCGCAACCGCTTTTCTTGGACCCCACCACTGCGACCAAGCCATGAATGAAAATGTGGGGCCCAAAAAACTGAGCCAACTAAACAATGCCAATGAAATGTTGTCCAAAACATTTCCCGATGGCGAGACCATGAGAGGACTCCAGAAGCAACAGGTGTTTAAAAAGCACCCGGGCAGAAACAGGATCAGAAACACACGGAGGCACAACAGCAGCTGGGAGTACAACGGGCATCATTGCCAGGACATGAAGGTCCTCGAGGACACCAGTGCCCAAAATATTTCATGACTCAATAGTTTTCAAGAAATTGTTGGTTTTCCAATAGCATCATGTGCATCAGATGATCAGGAATCTCATAAACATCAGGGTTCCTAGAGTCATCAAGGGGACGTCCCATAATGTTGACGTCACAAAGCATGCAGCTACGATTTTTCTAACACATAACTGGTCCGGTGAGGGAAACCGTGCATTTACGGTTTCCGTTTTTTCCGTTTTGGCACGGATGACAAAACGAGACATAACTCAGGGAACCATATTTGGCATTGTTGGGCATTCATCGCGTAGGGGCTCTGGAGAGACCAGTGGTTCCAATGTGGGAACATGTGGCAGCCCTGGCGGCGCTATACCTGGAATGTGTTCAAATTCGATTCGACGGACTAATTTGGCTGATCCAAATACCATAGATATCATCGGATTGCACGGCAGACATATACCAATTCATCCGGTCAGCCCGACCAGTAATGGTTCACAAATTATGCTTATTTAAAGAATATTTTAGGATTTGTTGTGAGCTGTCAATACCTTTGTGCGTATGTGCGTTATCATGCACACGTTGATAAAACAGTATTTGGCTGAAACGGATAAATCGTGGTGTTCTAAATGACGGATGCGATTTGGACGCATGAAATTCCCGCTAATGCACGCGGTGGCTACCAACAACTCGGATCTATGCCGGTAAACACGATTTTTGACACCGCGCACGTATCTGGACGAAGCTTAAAACAAAAAAGCAACAGAACACGCGCAACCAGATGCATCTCGCTGACATCAAAAGTCGTCACTCAGGCAGGCCTCACACACTGACCGCGCGCTTCCGTTCCGGTGCTTCGCAGGGTGACTTTGACTGGGACGAAAACACGCAGGCGCTGGTGCTGAGCAGCTTCTTCTTGGGCTACGCCGTCACCCAGTTCCCAGCAGGACGAATATCAGAGGTGTACGGACCGCGGCTCGTCTTCTTCAGTGGCATATTCCTGTCCGGTAGGTGACGTCAGCGCGGCACGATGTCATGTTATGACGTTAACACGGGAAGGTTGACGTCACACTGTGATTTCGGAGGACAGTGACGTCACGCTGTGACGCTGGAGCGGAACAGCAGACGTCGTGAAGGTACACGGCTGGTTGGCAAAAGCGAGCGAGGATAGGAAGTATCATGATTGAATGCAGCTGATAGATCGTATGTCGGAAGTGGCGTGAGGATCGTCGATTCAGAATTCCATAACAACGCCATTACCATGCATTTCGTCCATGTGGTTCTGGTCGGCTCATCGAATAGTTTGGGTGATTATTAACTGTTTATTTCTGTCTCATCGCCTGAGCTCGTTCGAAGGAAACCAGCTTTCCATCCAGGCTGCATCACCAACGAGGACATGGGGACCGAGGTTTCCACCCCACCACCGTTGTCTTGCCGTCGCGTAAGCCGCCGTATCAACCGCGCCACGTTTCTCGCTGATGTGGGCCACCGCTTTCTCAACCCTGCCCTTGTCCGCTTGTGACGAAGATCGCCGTGGTCTCATCTCCCGAGCTCGGGCAGTGACCTGTGCTGACCTCCAGCCATCGGGAGCCTGCTGACGCCCATCTGCGCCCACACAAGCTTCGGCCTGCTGATCGTCTGCCGCTTCGTCATGGGCCTCGGAGAGGTCAGGACAGTACAGGACAGGTCATGGGCCTGACGCGGTGATCCGGTCCTTGTCGGAGCAGAGTGCACATCGCTGCTCTAGTTTGGCCGTCGAAGCATTCGACAGGCTATTTCGGACGCTCGTTGGGTCATTCTTGGGGAAATGATCATGTTCCGGCCATAGCCGTTGTCTATGCCAGCCTTCGTGAAGGTTACTGTGATAACAAAAGGGAATGCATAGCATTCGAGATAAATAAAAGGCGCATATCATGGACTAGACGTAAGCACATCAAAATGCAGAGCAGTTCTCGCCGAATCCTACCGACCAAGCACCACGTGATCGCATCTGGTGTCGGTGCGCTGCCATTGGTCTACCACCTCGAACCCTCACTGCTGGCTGGTGCCCCAGGCGGTGCTGTACCCGTGCTACCAGGTGGTCGTCAGCAACTGGGCGCCACCCACGGAAAAGAGCCGAATGACTGTCCTAGGCACAACAGGCAAGCGGGCTTCGGGACTGCTACCCGGCGTCCAGCGATTCGCTGAGATGTTTGGGCACTCCTGTTCGGCATGGGGTCTGGGACAGAAGAAGTTCGCCCGTTGCAGCAATGAAGTAAATTGTAATGGGAGACAAATAAGTCTCTATTTTCGCCGTTGCATGTCCGAGACTCGAAGTCTGCCCAGATTCCAGATCCAAAGTATTCGCCTTTCTCTTCACCTCTGCCTTTCTCACCCGTACACATCACCCATCCACCAAGTCTCTGACCTCTCCGAGGAGTGAGGCATACCACTGGGCAGATATTGCGTGAAACGCGTCGCGTTTTATGTTCAGCTAGCGCCGCGACCAAAACATTTGTCGGATTCGCATTTTCCACAGCTTTATTACGAACCACTCAAAAGTTGTTCGCCCGTTCTAGCCAGCCAAGTGAATTATAATGGGAGACAAATGTGGCTTTCTGCCGTTGCGTGTTCGAGACCCAAACTCCAAACTCCAAACTCCAAACCAAACTCATCCATCAAGTCTCTGAACTTTCTGAGGAGTGGGGCATGGGATTAAGCAGATCTTGTGTAAAATGAGAAATGAGTGAAAATCAAATCTTAAATGTGAAAGTCAAATGTGAAATGAGTCGCGTTTTATTCTCAGCTTGTGACGCGACTAAACATTCATCTGACTCGCATCTTTCGCAAACTTATTACAAACCACTCCAGCATCGTATCATATGCCTCGTATCACGGCCTTGAAAGCGTCATGTCTCGAGTCCCAGGGCAGGAAACTTGCGAGGAGAGAGTCGGACATGCGTCGCCCATCGGTAACGTCCACTATGAATCCAAGTGTCCATCCAGACACCGTCCCTGTTTTGACCCGACCCCCGCCCCCTGACGGACAGGCAACACCTGGGGCACTATACTGGGGATGCCGATCTCTGGACTGCTGGCCGGCTCGAGCCTCGGCTGGGAATCCGTCTTCTACTTCTTCGGCTTCAGCAGCATCTTGTGGTGCGTGTTCTGGGCGCTGCTAGTCTACAACTACCCGCATCAGCATCCGCGCATCACGCAGCGCGAGAAGATCCTCATCGAGACCAAGAAGAGAGAGTACAGCGAGGCACTCGGCCAGCAGCACTGCGCGGTGGGTGGCCAGAGAAGCACCAGGGGAAGCCACTGTACAAACGGCATCCGAGCCGGCCGACAGGCCTGCAGCGCACAGCGGTAGGTAGCCTAAATAAGGTGTTGTATGGAACCATTGTCATTTGCACACAGCAGCAGACGACTAGATGGAACTGCAGGACATGGGGCATCGCAGCCGGGCATCAGAAGGGCGCGGAGGCACTCGGCCAGAGGATAACGGTGGACAGAGAGGCTCACGGTCGGGAGCTAGGCAAGGAGCACACGGCAGCAGGCATCCAGGAAAGATTTTTTATGCTTCGCATTTTAGCCCGGCGCCTTGGTAGGGACACATGGAGCTGGCTGATCAGGGGAAGCTTACGTATGCCGTGCGCTCTGTCGCCCGGCTCGGTGCCAGGGGCACGCAGCATTGGATGCCCAGGGAAAGCTGCAGTGCGCTGTGCAGTGGACGCCACGGCGCGCTTGGACTAAGGGGGAAGGGGCACTTGACATCCCAGGCCGAGTCCCGGGAGCGAACAGCATGGTGGTGTGCGGTCACTCCTGACACCACTTGACATCCCAGGCCGAGTCCCGGGAGCAAACAGCATGGTGGTGTGCGGTCACTCCCGACACTACTTGACGCGGTCAACGATTTGCGTAATTAATGGGAAGGGGGATGAGTCGAGAGCCCAACAGTCCAACATCCCTTTAATTTAGCTGTGTTTTCAACGGAGAGCCCATCTGCATTTGATAAACAACAGGATTATGTCTAATTTCAGCGTCATTTAATACGAAGACCTTCACTTCATCATCATCGTAGCGATGAATATAACTGAGGATGAATATAAGTATAAATGCACGGAGAGGCCATAACTGTTTAACATCAATTGTCGGGGGTTTATGCCAATATTAAGGTGCCCAGGTCATGTGTGAGACTTCTTGCTGATGGCGTGATAGGTTAGTGAAGACCTTGCTTGTGCCAGTCTTTCTCGTGAGTCGGAGAAAGATAGTTTATATCAATCAAAAGCTTTTATTTTCAGTAACTCGCACTCACTAACACTATCACCACAATGTTAACGTGCATAAACAACAGCAGTCTTGCGTCTTCGCGTCTAGAGAGTGTATGAGACTACACGGTCACCGAAAGTGCTCCGTATATACTACGCGCATGGGAAACGAGCCAAGACCACAGGTTCCGGAAATGATGTGATATCTATCCAATGAGAAGCCAGTACGATATTGTACGATGGTCGGCCTAGCCAATCACAAAGTAATGTATCGCCTTGCGATGCCGGAACTATCTGATGTGATGGACGGCTAGTGAGGTGTTGAATTTTAAAGAGAGCATCGAATCTTCTACGGAAGCCAGGCATGGCCAGGTTCCAACGGAACAGATGGCATGAGGTGAGTGATGAAGCCTTGGCTTGAACGGAAGCAAGCCTAGTTACTGCACATAACTCACCTGGCCGCTGCCTGGCTGACGCAACAGCACGCCATTTGACCGAGGATGAGTCACACGGCCGCTGGGTCCAACGTATGCAGCGGGCAGTTATGAGTGGCTAATGGACGGTAACTGGAATAGGGCTACAGATAAAGCTGTTTGAAGGTGAAAGGTGGCTTTTATTCAGCACGCACACACACAAAAACATAAATCCATCCGCGTGCTAACCAGTCTCTTTTAGGCCACTTGACTGAAATCTTGAAGTTTCTTACTGGACACTTGAAGTTTCCAACTGGGTGGGCAGCCCCGAGCGAGCCAGTCACGTGACTGAGCGGTCACACGACCGACCGGCCACGTGACTGAATGGTGTGACTGACTGACCGACCCGGTTGTTGTGCATTTGTTTAAGGGGGAGAACGAATCTGAATCATAATCACACCCCAGTTTTGGAGGGAAACATTGGAAATGCTTGATATGCCCAAGCTCTTTTTGGTCACTGACTAAACACTTTAGATAAGCCCAAATGACCTCGCAGCGTTGCTTAGGACATATTTACCAGTCACCAATTGTAATGAAGTCGTTAACCGGACATCTGAAGGCGACCACTAACTGGCGGGCGGTGCCGACAGACGAGACCGCCGGTGCCCTGGAAGGCGATGTTCACCAGCGTGCCCTACATCGCCAATGTCTTCACCGCCTTCTGCTACAGCTGGGGCTGGTATATGCTGCTCACCGAGCTGCCCACGTACATGAACAATATTCTACACTTCAAAATCGACCAGGTGTGCATGTGGTAAAGCGGTTTGCGATTTTAGTGGCTTGTAAACAATGGCGTGACGCCGGTCTCGAGAAATGATGTGGCATTCAGGAACTCGGATTGCTTGGCTACTAGAGAAGTCGGATAATAACACTGAGTAAGGCGCATTGTGTACCTACAGCACTCATGCAGTACTCACGAAAACTTCATAGCACGCACGTCCTTACCTTTCAAAGTGACCGCAGAAGAAACCACGTTTCGGTCAGGGACGCGCTTCAAGGAGGAGAAATTTCTTGTGGTTCGGTCGTTTTTATCGTAATATCTCTTAAAGTGCAATGGTCTTCAGCTGACATACTGAGTGATTTCCTGTTTGCAGAATGCGTTTCTCTCAGCGCTCCCTTTCCTGTTTATGTCCATCGTTTCGAACATCGCCGCATTCAGCCAGGATAAGCTGATGGAACGCAAGACATTCAGCAAGACCGTCGTCAGGAAAATATTCGCAGTCACTGGTAAATGAGGTCTTACCAGCATCAATTCTCAACTCGATAGTGAGCTTCGGCAATAGCCCTGAGATACGGGGCATGAGCAGGATGTTGAATACTGTCTCGTTGATTCGTGAAATTTATTTGGATAAAACACGAATGTTCATAATTAGTTTTGGACATGCACGCGGACGAAATCGAAAGCGCCATCCAGCCGTTCTCTCAGCTGCGTCTAGGATGTAGCAAACTTGTTTGTTGTAATGAAACCGCTGATCAAAAAGCCCTCTCTTAGTCGTTCAATCCGCGCCTTCTCACTGTTGAATCCCAGTTTGTGGACCCCGTCATTTCCCTACTAGTAAACCCCTCGACGTTGGGGACCGGATCCCCGGGACTTTCTTGGACACCGACCAGCCTGACAGCATTGGGGCTTAAGTTTGTCCTCACAAGGACGTGACTTACCGCAGGCCATAACCCTCCGATGCCGTCTTAACCACTCAACCCCGAACACCATCCATTGCAGGCCTGCTGGGGTCAGGCATCTTCCTGGCGCTCGCCTCATTCGCCGGGTGCGATCACGTGGTGATCGTTGCGCTGCTCTGCATCGCGGTGGCTATGGTGGGCTGCATCGTCTCCTCCCTGCTCGTCAACTACCTCGACCTGGCGCCCAACTTTGCAGGCTCCATGATGGGCGTCAGCAACTGCGTCATGGCCATCGCCGGCATCGTGGCGCCGCTCGTCACCGGCGCCATCGTGGCAGGTGACAGACGGTGACTGGTGGTCGTGGTGACAGGCGACAGATGGTGCTAAGTTGTCATTGTGACAGGCGACAGATGGTGCTAAGTTGTCATTGTGACAGGCGACAGATAGTGCTAAGTTGTCATTGTGACAGGCGATAGACAGTGTGGTATATGGTCATGGTAACAGATGGCCAGGCGTGACAGCTGGTCAGTTGGTGAGCGATGGTCAGGTGATGACAGCTGGTCAGTTGGTGACAGATGGCCAGGTATGCCAGTTGGTCAGGTGGTGACGGATGGTCAGGTGGTGACAGTTGGTCAGTTGGGGACAGTTGGTCAGGTGGTGACGGTTGATCACGTTGTAAGGTGGTGATGAGTTGGTGACTAGTGGTTAGGTGGTGACGGGTGGCCGGCTGGTCAAATGGTGACGGGTGGTCAGGTGGCCAGGCGGTGACAGGTGGCCAGGTGGTGATGGATGGCCACGTGGTAACGGGTGGCCAGTGAGGCCATACAAAGCTATCACGTACATTTACTCGTAGGACCAGATATCTATCTTTTAGATTCCCGATCGGTATTGACACTTGTCACGTAAGCTAAGCAAAGCAGAGCTGTGGCATTAAATGCGCATGTGATTTGTGGGCTTTGCATGATGTCGGTACGATCGAGATTAATCGTTGATGACTGTCGTGTCCTATTTGGTGCTCACTTGCATGATCAGTGCGGGACGGGGACAGATACGGACAGGACAGATACAGATACACGGTGGTACTGTATAGCAGGAGGTACCAGTCTAAATGCCGGTGTCACGGGTACATGGAAGAGGAGTATTCTCGTTGTATGCATGATGAAACTCCGACTTCATAAGTCAAAGTATGAAGCGAGACAAGACATTGCTGGTGTCTGATGTTTTGGTACGCCGCCTGGCGTGAGCAATTTATGGAGGAACAGCATTCTCCCCTTTTCCCGTTCTCATTATTCCCGCAAATCCCAACATGCCATTATTTGCGAATTGGAGTGGCATACGTCAATCATGTTTCATGTTACGGGAAAGCAATTTTGTGAGTTTAGAAACATATTAAGAATTGAAGAGCTTAATTTATCCCACATGTTTTTCCCCAGATAGCGTGTGTGAATACGAGACCAATGAATTGTCACACTGCGTCAAAAAACAGCTAGTTGGAGATCATTTGCGTGTGTAGGTTTACAAACGTATTCAGAGGGAACATTCAGATGACCTTCTCAGGTGCCAGAAAGGAAAACACAGATTTCAAAATTGTCCTAAGGTCATCGAATGATCAGGCACTATCTGTTAAATGGGAAAAATTGTGCGTTCCTAGCATTACTGCGGAGCAAAACAGCAGTGAGGAGAGGCAGTGGGTCGGGTGGATTTTGTTCCTCCTATACGGTGAGTCATTCTGACAACCCTTCTGCGTCGCGCTTATAGGCATGGAAGGCAGATAAGTTATGTCAATTATATTTACCGTTAATTTGTTTTAGTTTGAACTTAAACCATTCTTACACCGCTAGTTCCGGCAACCGATATTGCAGGGAAGCCTTCCCGGGATCGTAATCTCAAGACGGTGGTGTAAGAAGCCGTCAGGAACTGGCTTAATACGCACAAAATCACCCTCCCTAAACTAAACCCCAACAGCGTCCCATAACTCCGTTCCTGGTGTTCGCAGGACACGATGACCTGGAGCATTGGCAGATCGTCTTCTGTCTGACAGCAGGCATCCACGCGATGGGCGCGCTTGTGTTCATCATCTTTGCGTCCGCCGAGGAGCAGTGGTGGAATTGCTACCCCTCACGGGAGGCGGCAGAGCTAGCTGCCAAGGAAAATGAACTGACCAAGGAACGGCACTACAAGGTGGTCGCCCTGCCGTGACGACAATTATAGCACGGGTTGCAACGACTTGGAGACCAAATGCTAGTGGGTGTAAGCTGTAAAGCCGTTCTATAATCAAGGCGATATCGACGATGGCGACACCTATAAGGCTGTTCGTGATGACTCCGTGACGCGTTTAGGTGATAGCCGGAGGCGGCGCAACAAAGGGGCAAGGGCCCGCCGCTCCCTGTCCATTTTCCAAGCGTTAAAAGCATGTCATTGTGATTCCTTGCAATTTTTGGGGACCCATCATCAGACAGTGTCCGCCCGCGAAATGCCCTATATGGCCAACGCCAGGCCCTTTTGGTTTCAGGAGGCCCCAGATGATACAAATGAGGGCCATCAGATTCATGAGAGGACCTAAGAAAAACACAGAAAGCACCGCTGGCCAACGATTAGGCCCCCTGCCATGCCACCATCCCAAGAGAAGCCCATAAAAATTAACAACTTGAATAAGAAGTAAAACATAAATGATTTGAAACCTGAACGAAACCATTTTGTTAAAAGTTTGGATAGGAAGCCCCAGGTCTGCCCCGGGGTCCGAATGTCGGCTTTCCACCTTGGTAAAACCCAGCGGCGCATTTCCTGATGACCTCCTGTCGTCTGACAGCGTGCAGCTGACGAACGCCGGTAACTGTAATGAGGGTGCCAGAACCGGATGAGGCTGGCGAGGAGGGAGCAGTTGCCCCCGTCCGACTTGGAAAACCTAACACGAGCTCTGCATCTTCAGTGGGATATGTGACGAGTGTTCTGTATCTTAACACGCTCTCGGGTGGGAGGGGGTCAAATTGACCCTCCGAAGGATTTCCCAGAATGGTTTACGAACGGCGCGGCGTAGCCGCGCCACATTTTACATAGCTGTAGACAATTGAATAGCAGATCATTTGGCATCAACAATTTAGATGTGCCTTGTAAGGTCGCTGACATATGGCAGGTCAAAGTCAGGCCATGGCTTCAGCGAAGGCAATTTCTAGGGAATCATTTAATCTGATCCAGCAACGGAGTGTTAGACGAATCCATACGTCTCTGAGATGCTTTCTCAGGCAACACAACAGTCGAATGAGCAAATTACACTGACCTAAGGTCAGGTATGAAGGTCACATTAAGGTCAAAACCAACCTGTTTTGTTACTCTGGGGCTTGCCGCATGAAACAGTTTCTGATGGTCATTTCGAATTTATTGATGGTAGGAACCGCATTACACATCTTCCATGAACTTCTTAGAGGTCAGAATGGACCATTGACAAAAAATGACCCATGTCAGCATTCTGTTTTAGGAACATACTGCCTAGCGTAATCTTTGTCATATAGTCAAATGCAAAACTTAAAGCAATCTTGTATGATTTTGGTCACCTCGACCTTCAAAAGGTCAAAAAATGTCACTGACCTTAAATGAGCATGTGACATTTTGCTTAGAACCAATAATCTAGGTTCTGGGGGCATTTTGGAGACCAGCCTGGAATATTACCTTGTTTGACCTTTTTCCGGAAGGTTATGACCTAGGAGCCTGAAACTTTGACCTAAATGAGTTAACGTACAGGTCAATACACCCTGGAAATTTGGTGTCTCCAGCTTTCTTAGTTCCCGAGATCTCAGGGGGGGGGGCAAATTGACCCCCCCCCCCCCCCCACATCCGAGCAAAGGGTGTCTAGCCGGCCACCCGGTCGCGTGTTAAGGCACCTTAGTGACATTTGTTTTCCTTGTTTTGTGCAAAATCACTGTCAGGGAAGATGTGTGTTATACAGAATGTGTGCAAATATATAATGTGTGTGCTGTTGCACACTGGGGTGTCTTTGAATAGGTAACGGAAGTGCATTATACGTTACTGGTAACGGAAGCCCTTTACTGACGTGTTCAGGAAAGGCCCAGCAAAATGTGACCGCAGCAAAAGCATACAGAGCCTTTATGGGCTGATGTGAAGAGTCCGTAGAGGGCTTCTGATTGATTAAGAGTACCCATGCATGTTAGCAAATAGTGCCACAACAGCAGCGTATGGCCCTACGAGAAAATACAAAGATATCAAGGCAACGCGGAAGGCTCTTTAGCGATCGAATTGACCCAGCGTGTGGACATATAGGGCCCCGCAACAGGGTAACGCCTCTAGACATCGTGGTCAGCCTCACATTCCCCCAATCAACATTCTCCCAATCAGCGAAGAATTTATCTTGTCTGCTCACTGGCTCTTCACTTTCACTTGCAACTGTTCTTGGTCGCTTAGATGACCAAAGACATCCAATTTTATCGTGTATAGTGTTAGAATACTGCGTCCTTCCTGCCAGTTATGGGCTCCTTTGGAGCCTACGGGTCCCTGCGGGGCGCAAGGGGGACAAGGTCCGTGCCCCACCCTCTCTGGATGCGCCACTGGCTCGAGCAGCTTAATAAATGGGGCGTCGAAGAAAACATAGGGCCATCCGTTCACATGAGTGGTAGCCAAGAAACAATATGGAGAGCCGGACATGATCAAGTGTCCGAGTATCTTACCAGTATATTATCAAGTATAGTATACAGTATATTACCAAGTATCTGGTGACCCGAGCGGGTCACCTGATGGAGTCCTGGGCAAGCGCATAGGGCCCTTCATTCAAGCAAGGAATACTCACGACACAATTTAAAGGACTCCGAACGATCGAGTGCGACAAACAGGAAGGGCCCCGACAAGAGCACAGCGCACTTCATTCAAACTGTAAGTTCGCAAGACCCAATGCAGAGGGTCCCCGGACGATCGAGTGTACCCCTGCAGGTTATCAGATAGGGCGCCCGACAAAAGCGTAGGGCCCTCCACTCAGATAAGAAGTACCCGAGACCTAGTGGTGAGGACCCGAGCGTACCCGAGCGGGCTATCAGATGGCCGGCGACAGGAGCGCAGGGCTCTACATTCAAATACCAAAATCCAATGTGCAGGGCCCACCAAAAACTTGGTGTGCCCGAGAAGGTTAAAAGATGTGGCACCTGACAAGTGCGTAAGGCCCTCTTTTCAATTAGGAAGAACCCAGGACCCGATTTGGAGGCTCCGAACGGCCGAGCGTGCCCAAGCAGGTTAACTAATGGCCTCCGACAAGAGGATAGAGCCCAAAGCAAATGCCAGAGAATTGGAAGGGCCCTAGACCAATGCAAAGCATATCGCGGGTGTGCTAGTACGTTAATTGAGACCAACGTGAAGGGCCCCTGGACAACCGAGAATACACCGGCAAGTTAAGATATGGGGCCCGCACTTTAGCATATAGAGCCGGTCAGGTGGGTGGGAAGCATCCGTGGAAGGACTCTGATTAAAAAGTGTCCTTGCACGATAGCAGGAAGGGCAGCAGCGCGCGGCCCTCCAAGCAAATGCAAAGAAATCAAGGGCAAAGAAAGAACATTTTAATCACATCGGCTCTGCAGGTTGACGCACAGGTCTCCTGTAAACAGCATAGAGACTCCGAACAGCGTAATGAGCACTAAATTATCCCAGTCACAACCTTCGAAATCAGTGAATAACTATTGTTGTGTACGTGTGGACCCCATACTCTGCCCTGCCCCTGCTTGTGGTTGTCTGAAAGCCCAAAGACGCCTAATTTTGTTCCATGTTGCTGTTTTTTTTAAATGCGTCATTTCAGCCAGCTATGGGCCTTTTGGAGCCTATGGCCCCTTCGGGGCCAAGGAAGGGATATGACCCCGAACCCCTTCCCCCATTCTGGATCCGCCCCGGGTTTCAGCTCAAACCACATACAAATGTGGAACACTCCCTTTAACGCGGCCACTGCTATACCTGCTCTGTCGTTGAAAAGAAGTGCAAGTTGAGTCTCACACAAAGTCCTCCGTCACACCCGCACACCCATATATATATATATATATATATATATATATATATATATATATATATATATATATATATATGCGTACATCCAGGCAGTGTCGTCAAGTCAGTCTTTCTGCAGAAGTCTTTTTTGCACCCCGGGCCACATTTTATGATGAAAAACACCTATGTCCACGGGTGTCGATTGGTATTCTTTTTTAAGAGCCCTGCCCTCCGCCCCCCCCCCCCCCCTTCTACGTTGAGTGACACCCCAATCTTGGCTGCCCCCCCCGATGTTTTTGGGTGGAATGCTACACAAAAATGTGGGTGGAGGATGATCATAACACGAAGACTATCTTCTTTGATCTTTCTGCCTGGTGGCGTCTCATACCACTATCATAGCAAGAAGTCATGGCTGCTCTCACCACAATATACAGATCTTAACAGCTGAGCGAATAAACGATGCAATAAACATTACATACCTAGCGCCATAAGACACGCAGGGGTTTATGAGGTTAAAGTGAAAAGCTCTGGAATATGGGAATGACCTAAGTCCTTCATGGTTAACCCCGTCCCCGTTCCCTACAAACAAAGTGCTTGCCGCCTCCAATAACCGCCAAAGAAGATCACCATCGGCGCTCTGAGGTGGCCTCTAAAGGGGCGCCTTCACGTGCCGATCAGAAGAAACGTGTACGTCCAGTGACTGCTCCTTTGATCCAACCCTGGATGACCTCTTCACTGCTTATATTAAATAATTTTTTTAAATTTTACAAAGATTAAAAACGTATATTGTGTTTGATCTAAATTAAGTGGGCTAAAACAGGTGAGGAAATTGGGGGGAGGTAGGTTGCCGGGCCTTTGGTTCGGCACCCCAATAATTTGCAAAAATTGACACCCTTGCCTATGTCCCTGACCACAATCGGTCGGTTTAACAAGACGCTTCCCTGCGATTCTACCCCATTTTAACACGCGCTCGGGTGGGGATCAAATTGCCCCCCCAAAGATTTTTCCAGAATGGTTTCCAAACGACGCGACGTAGCCGCGCCAAATTCTGCATAGCTGTAGACGATTGAGTAGCGGATCGCTTGACATCAAAAGTTTAGATATATCTTAGATAGTCCCTGATCTACGGCAGGTCAAAGTCAGGCCATGGCCTCAGCCAAGGCAATTTCTAGGAAATCGTCCAGTCTGATAAGATAACAGAGTGCTTGACGAAACTATACATCTCT